GGATATCTACTTCTTTCCTCACTTGGTATCACTGGATATCTACTTCTTTCCTCACTTGGTATCACTGGATATCTACTTCTTTCCTCACTTGGTATCACTGGATATCTACGTCTTTCCTCACTTGGTATCACTGGATATCTACTTCTTTCCTCACTTGGTATCACTGGATATCTACTTCTTTCATCACTTGGTATCACTGGATATCTACATCTTTCCTCACTTGGTATCACTGGATATCTATGTCTTTCCTCACTTGGTATCACTGGATATCTACTTCTTTCAAACAATTCTTCCTTTCTTCATTCCATCTTTTCATTTTCTACTTTTCCCTCATAGTTTTAGTTTTTCAACTTCTTTATCTGATTATTTTCTCCACTGCTTCAAGATCACTAGTTTTCTGTGGTGGTACAAGTTTTTTATTGTATCGTAACTTTGGTAGTTCTAACTTTTCTAGTTCTTCCCTGATGAATGTAGTTTTTTGTTTTTCCAATGTTTGATTGTGAAATGGATTAAAGCCGCACGTGAGCATTCCAATTTTATATTAATTGTCATCTCTGAAGCTACTAGCAATAACAACCATTGAATTTCTCTACCTCTACACACTCTTAACCAGATATATCATTTTCAGGACAATTCAATACAGAAACAAGAAGTGTGTGAAAAAGAAACCATTGAGAAGCTTAAAGAATTGGTTAATCGGCTTCCATCAGTGCACTATATAACTCTAGCATTTTTAATCCACCATTTGAAAAGGTGAGAAACTTTTCCTTCTTGTTATTTTTTGATTATTTATATATTTTACAACTTTTGATAATTTGTTTCTCTGAGTAAAATAGAGTATCATAAGTGTGTTTATCAAGGTCTATCTTACGTATCTCTTCTTGTAAAGCACTGAATGTTTCTAATGATAAATTTAAAAAAAACTCTGAATTTTTCTACTGTATACTTAGTTCTCTTGATTTCTTTATATTTCTAGGATATCAGAAAACGTGGAGAAGAATAATATGCCACCAAGTAACCTTGCTATTGTGTTTGGACCGAACTTACTTCAAACGAGGTAGGATAGAATGTTTCATTTAACTAACTGTAATTGTGTTTGGACCGAACTTACTTCAAACAAGGTAGGGTGGAATGTTTCATTTCACTAACTGTAATTGTGTTTGGATCAAACTTACTTAAAACAAGGTAGGATAGAATGTTTCATTTCACTAACTGTAATTGTGTTTGGACCAAACTTCCTTCAAACAAGGTAGGGTGGAATGTTTCATTTCACTAACTGTAATTGTGTTTGGATCAAACTTACTTAAAACAAGGTAGGATAGAATGTTTCATTTCACTAACTGTAATTGTGTTTGGACCAAACTTCCTTAAAACAAGGTAGGATAGAATGTTTCATTTC